TTTCTGTTTCCCCTACAATTATATTTCCTGTTTTTCTTTTTCTTTTTTCCACAGATCTTTGCGGTTGGTGTATGCATGTACATCGCATGCACCCTGGAGCATGCGCAGACGTCTGCAGACTCAAAAGAATGAGGAGGAGATCACTTCGAGCGATCTATATTTTTGTTGCTCGATTCATAATACGAATTGACAGTCTCAATAAATAAACAGGGAGGCATGGAGCCAGATAATTGGAGATGTTAGGGAATGACATACCATGAAGGACAGCTTTTCAATTTTCAGTTTGAAGGGTGTAGTGTGCTGCACAATTCCTCATTATTTAAAAACAATCAAACTACCCCGGCTGCCCTGCTGGTTGTAGTTTGCCGTCAAATATGATCGCAAGGGAAAAAAATCATTGCCAATTTTGTCTTATTAAAGATGACCCCCGTTCTCTTCATCTGCTTCTGACACTCGCCGCTCCGCTCATAACCTGAAAATTAGTGGCTGAGGGTCTCTATGTCTGTGTCCTACTGAAACGCAAGTCATATGGTTGTTCATTTGCAGGCTAATCAGAAAGCTGCACTATTAATGGAAAATGAATGAGGTCGGATTTGATTGTGGTTGATGGCAGAGGCTATGCTCCAATTGTCCTGGAATCCATACACTTTAATCAATCTATATTGAGAGACAGCCAGTGTAGGCGTGAGGAACATTGCCATTTTGAAAAAAAATTAGACACTTGAAGAGGGATGGTTGATGACCTCAATCTCTGTCCTCACAATATAAGAAAAAGAAATATCAGGTTCAAGGTAGCTAGAGATAATAATATGCTTTTTTAAAATTCATATAAAGCCTACATGTTGAGTGCTAACTTGCTTTATTTCTTATCTGGAAGTGAATTCCATTCAAAAGTGAGCATCTTCTTTTGAATGGAATTGAATGGAATCAATTCTACACAAAACCATACATCACATCTACTTTATTGTGTATCTGAGTGTTGCCAAAGACATATAGTAAACACTAAATTCATTTTAGTGATAACTAACATTTATATCAAATAGTCTGTGTGTCATCAGTGATGATAAAAGTCAGGATCTAGGTCCAGTAAATCTTTTAATAAAACAAAACAAAATAAGTCAAAATAATAAGAAACTCAGGTGTCTAGAACTGGCAAAATAAACCGAATGACGCAATCTAATTCCCAGTACACATTGTACATTTTCTTGAAAAATCACCAATTGTGTCAAATTCTGTGGTTGTGGCTCCTAAACAGGTTCAAAGATGGCGGTTGTCATGGTCTTGTGACAAAAGATAGCCTACAATAATTTTCTGACAGTAGCCTCTCACAGTGTGTTTGCTGGCTGCTACGGCCTACTACTACTGACTAGCCAATAAAAAAAAATGGGGTTACACTTTACTTGAAGGGGTGTTCATAAGTCTGGCATGACACCTTCATAACCATGACATGACATATGTCATGAATATGAAATAGGGTTTGTACATGTTTATAACAACTGTCACTAAGTGTATTTCGCTCAATAATGACATTCTGAATGCAAATATGAAATTGTTTCATGACAGCTTGACATAAAATTAAGTTAAACTGTCACGTGGTTGGTTTTGACTTTGGCTGCCTGTCATGAGGCCATTATAACTGTCATGAATATTTTTCGTGACCTCAACTACAGTGGTACAAATTGAATTTGTCATTAAAATGTTATAATGGCTTCATGACAGCCACTTGACAATTTAATGTAATGTTAACCAATAAAGCTAGGTGGTTTCTTAAGTTTGATGATGAATCTGCTATGTTATGTTTATGACAGGTTGTGTTGTCTTAGTAATGTCGAACCCGTTCTCATTCCAAGGCGTCATATACGACACTTTTGCCAAAGCCTAGACATCCAACGCACATGGTACCTTTTAGTCTCAAATGAGACACAGATTTATATGGGGTAAAAGGCGCCTCCTAGTGGTCTAACCCTATCCCTACCCCATACCTAAACCTACCATAACCGAAGCGTCTCATTTGACGCTAAAGGGTGCTATGTGCATTGGATGTCTACGCTTTGGCAAAATAGTCGTATATGATGCCTTTTGTAATGTCAAGTTGTCATGACAAAGACACTGACAGGTTATGATGTATTGGTTCATGTCAAAGGTGTCATAACAGACATCTCAAACAATGTCATATTTGCATTAAAAATGTCTTGAGCGAATGACACTTAATGACAGTTGTCAAACATGCATAAAACCTCCTTCATATTCATAACATGTGTCATGTCATGATTATGAAGGTGTCATGTTAGTCTTATGCACACCCCTTCAAGTTTAGTGTTACCAAAAAGGGCATATTGATCAACTTAAAATGCTAAAACTACTTACCTCAAGCTCCATTTGCAAAATAGAGATGCTAAGTTGTCCTCTTTTCCCTAGCCATAACCGCATCCATATTTTCCACTTTCGCTTACAGTGCTCTTCTTTTTTTCAGCGCACATAAAAACCACAATTGCCAAAGTGTGATTTATCTTGCTCTATTTGTTTACCACTGGTGTAAATAGTGCATGCTGATGATGTTTTATTCATTTCTACGTTTAGTACAATGTGAAACATCAGCTTATGAATACCCAGGATTAATTGTTAACCCTGGGTAAATTATGAGCTGTGTGAAACGTGAAGCAAGATAACCCAGAATAGTTTACGCAGGGTTTAGAATGACCCAGGGTTAAAGGGATTTTTTTGGAAATAGGCTCATTTTACAACTCCCCCAGAGTTAAACAGTTGGGTTTTACCGTTTTCGAATCCATTCAGCTGTTTTCTGATATTTAGAAGAATTTCAGTAACCAGACAGTTTCTAGTCTCATTGACTTCCATAGTAGGAAAAAAATATACTATGGAAGTCAATGAGACCAGAAACTGTCTGGTTACTGATATTCTTCTAAATATCAGAAAATTGGCTGAATGGATTCGAAAATGGGAAAACTGAACTGTTTAACTCTGGGGGAGTTGTAAAATGAGCCTATTTCCAAAAAAAAGTGGAGTATCCCTTTAACTAGCTATTTCAAGTGTGAAAAGCCCTAGGTGTCCTCATCAAGCAGTCTACATACAGTACATGCCGTACAGTGTGATTTGTAATGATATTATAGAATGTTTTAACTCGCACAATCTGTAGCTGGCAGACATAACTTAAATACACAGACCAGACAAATCAATGAATACCAGGTGTGAACATTAATCAAAAAACGAGTAACCACCAAGGAGACAAACCAGGAACAGAAAACAGAGCAAAACCAACTCAGGGTGAAATTCAAACACAGGAAAAACAAAAGACATAACCCTGACACTTGTGTTTAAAAAAATGCAGCTTGTGTACTGGCTGTTTGTGTGGTGTCTGGTTAAAAAGAAAAAAACAAACATGTTACCTGCTTTATTTCTTATCTGGAAGTGAATTCCATTCAAAAGTGAGCATCTTCTTTTGAATGGAATTGAATGTAATCACTCAATGTGGCCGTATGAAAAACCCTCTACAAAACCATACATCACATCTACTTTAATCTGAGTGTTGCCAAAGACATATAAACACTAAATTCATGTTTATAGAAAAACACTGTAACTAACATTTATATCAAATAATCTGTGTTACAGTGATGAAAAATGCTTCAGAAATAAAATTGTGAGAACATGACATCCAATATCAGATCATAATTAATAATTTGTTACATAGTGCTTTTCTGGGTACTCAAAGCTCTTTACTTGGAAGGGGGAGTCTCCTCAACCACCACCAAAAATGTGCAGCATCCACCTGGATCATTAACAATAAAATGACCTATACTGACCACTCAATTTACCCATTGTCAATGGGTCCCTTGTGAAGGAATTCAGTTGCTCAATTTAGTCTGGAATGACCCTGCAAATAGCATCCACATAAGTGTTGTAGTCAACACCGGGCAGAGACCTGAATAAATTCAGTCAAGACCAAGTCGAAGTGTTCCCAATTCCATGACAAGCCCAAAATATGGTTTTGGGATGAGACTTGAGATGGACTTGTTCCTGGACTGTGGTCACAGAGTACTACAACGCTGATACACATCTCTATAATTTTATGGAGACATGCATAGCTGTCTGTCCTGTTTTTCCATTTTGTCAATTGAGTCAGGACGTTTGGATGGAACATAGCCTATTTGAAAGCTTTTTTTTTTTGTGTGTGTGCCATTAGTCTATGTCAGCCATTAATTAGCAACACAGTAAAAAAAATGCTGATAATTTTTTTAACCCAATCATTGGGTTACACATATTGGGTCACTTTGTTGGGTCAATTTTTCAAAAATGTTTTATTATTATTTTTTCAATTGTTGGCTAATTTCTAGTCATAACCCGGCTGTTGGGTTACGTATGTTGTTGTTGTGTACTGTGTACGCTTATGTTTTTTTAAAATTTATGTACACAATTATATATATATGTATATTATTCTAATATTTAGTTTGTAATTTAAAATATATTTGTTGAGACATTTATTGTTTTATACAAATGAACAATCGAAAGTTTATTAGATAAAAAAATTAACTGTTGGGTTACTTTTAACACAACAGGCTTTTAACCCAATTCATTGGGTTAAAATAACACAGTTGGGTTACTCATTGGGTTATTTTTTAACCAAACATAATTAAGTGAGTATAATTTACTTAATTTGCTACTTCCCAGTGGGAGGGACATGTTTGGGCTATTTTCCCAGAAAAAAAAGTGTGTACATTTTAAGTCCAACTTTTTAGGAGTAGCTACACACTTACATAGGTGGGTTCAAATCAAATAGACACGGAAAAAAAACATGAACGCATAATATAGTGGATGATATAGTGGATGTTATAGTGCATGTTTTATCAGCCGCTAATAAAGGGCTTGTAGTCTGTAAACACTGCTGACATTTTCTCTCCATTTGGAAGATTTCCTTAGCCCGTTGTGGGGAGACATCCATGTGGCTGGGGGAGCTGTGCGCTTTTCCCGCTCTTACACGCACCTGCTGGTTACGTCAAATCCTTCCTCTCGAGCCGCAGCACGCCGTCGTCTTGGAAACGCTCCCTCAGCGTTACAAGCTTGTGTGAGGCTGTATGGTCGGATGATGGAAGAAAACAGCAGAGAACATCTCGATACTGGTGTGTAAAATTAAAACACATTCATACAAAGTCATATGACATTGTTCTATTGACAGACACGCGTTGGATGCTGTCTGTGCATGTAGAGCGTGCAAATTTATCCGTTAGGTGCATGATATGAGCGCTTCGTCTATGTAAACAGAGGGACTGTTTGCTAAGCTTAGCCGAATAAACCTTATTATTGTGATACTCTCCAGTACCCAAGAGAGTCAAGACATTATAAAGCGTATATGTATTGCGTTAAATGCAACACCACGTGTGCTTGTAGTCCAGCCTTGTTAAAGTGGACGTTTCCAGATATTGTGACTGGTAACGTTATATATTCACACTTTTAATGGATTTACTACATCTTTACGAGACTACTTGGTTTCCTTTGCATTTCGTTGGTAAAATTTACATGACATGTAGCTGCTACTCGTTTATGCTAGCTTTAGCAGTCCTGACCGCCAGACTAGATGTTCACTCACTACTTTGCTTGTATTTACACAAGCTATGTTAGTTGTAATTTGATAAGACAGCCTTCTCTGTGAAAATTTTCTGAAATTCAACGTCCTATTTAAATTCATCCTGTGTATCTCTCTCTCTCTCTCTCTCTCTCTCTCTCTCTCTCTCTCTCTCTCTCTCTCTCAATACATGTACATACACACATATTCATATTTTATGGAGACATTCTATAGACACAATGATTTTTATACCTTACAAATTGTAAATTCCTTACACTACCCTTACATTTACTCTTAACCTACCCATCACAGAAAACATTTTTTTTTTTTTTTTTACATTTTTAAAAAACATTACTTTGTATGATTTATAAGCAGTTTTCCTCATGTGGACACACACACACACACACACACACACACACACACACACACACACAGGCAAATACTCTTTGCTTGTTCTTTGTATATTTGGCACTACTTAAATGGTTTGTTCACCCAAAATGAAAATTCATCTTCATTTATTTACCCTTATCTCTTTGCAAACACTTAAGCATAATGAAAGGTTCATTTAACATTCTCTTTAAATGGATTTTTTTCTTTTCTTTCCCTGTTTTCTCTTGTGACTGAGTGCTGCCATTCTGCCTAACATCTCCTTTTGGCTTGAGTGGAAGAAAGAAAGAGATACAGATTTGATTTGGAGTAAATTAAAGACACCAATTTTGAAGAGAAATTTCTTTTATAAAGTCTGATTTTATTAATTTTCTTTTTGTTTAATTTCCAATGTCATTTTTCATGTTATGTTCAGTTCATGTTATACAGTATGTTAATGATGTTATGTTATATACCTTAAAGCTGCAGTCCGTAGCTTTTTTGGGGTATACATTTTTGAGAAAATACATAACCAGCCAGTGTTCAAAACTCTCTGCTTGCCTTAGCTCGATTCAAAGTAGTAAGCTTGTCATAATGTTTTTAATTCCAGTGGTACTGGTGGATATCCGTGGGAGATTCGAGCATGTCTTTGCGTCATTACGTCACATCTGTACACAATACATAAAGGAGTCTCGGCTAGTAGGCTATATTGCGTGTGAGGATGTTGGAGGTGGAGATTTATAGGCTTTTCTCACAATACTTGATATAATTAAACTTATCAATTTGATGGCGGATCCAGAAAGGTTCAAGCGACAATCGCCAGTCAGTGACAACAGATTCACCCGCTGTAAAATGCAAAAGACTTTGTTCGGACTTCGGAGTGACTACAGAAATAAAGAGACTGCAACCGACCCATGCAAAAACAAGGATAAATATGGGAAGGACATTACATGTAGTCATGCAATGCGGACATTGAGAATTTGAGAATAAAGTATAATTTGCACAGTTTTGCGTGATATGATAAGCGATTTTTAGATTTAATCAGCGCGATTTACTGCAATGTCAGAACCAGAACAAAAGTGGATGTTAGTTGTTCAGATGACATTTTCCAGTTAAAAAAATTATGATGTTGGTCACACTTCCAAAAATATTAATCTGTGATTCTGAATGCCGGTATTCACACCGGCGCGGTGACTGACAGCCTCACGCTCTCCTCAAACATTGTGTTAATCCACGCTGTGTTGTGTTGAACTACAACTCACGTAAAGTTGTTAGTTCCGCGAATAACTGTAATTACAGATTTCGAACAGAGATGGCGACAAAGAGGAAAAACTGCCGACTGCAGCTTTAATGTAAAAACAATTCAATGACTCAATATAATCTGTGTTGGCACTGTTTTTGTTATACACACAGTGCACACTGATCAACAACCCTACTTCGATGGCTGATTTCAATTGCTATGTTACATAAATATGGTACAACTGTTGCTTAATAATTTAGTCATTATTCAGATAGTCAGCAACAGATAGAGAATTCATTGCTAATTTATTTTTTGTTTTTGGTGTATTAAAATGGAATGTGTTTTTGACATTTGAAACTGTGGGCCAATCACAACGTTTTTGACTTTACTGTATGTACTTCTGAATTTTGTGTGGCAGATAATGAAGCAGGGGGGGAGGATGCTCTGGTTGGGAATGTGAACAAACTGATGATCACCCCTCCAGGATACACCGGACCACACAAGAAAGGTCATGTCATCTTTGATGCCTGCTTTGAGAGTGGTGAGAGATCTAAGTATTTGTATTTTTTAGTCCCTTTTTCACACCTATACGGAGTGCTGTCATGTCTACACTACCATTTAAGAATAGTATTTGTTTTAAATAGAACATTTTTGTAGCATTATAAATATCAGTGTATAGTCATTTTTGGTCAGTTAAAGGAGTAGTTCACAATAAAAAAAAAACTTTTGCTGATTATTTACTCACCCCCATGTCATCCAAGATGTCCACGTCTTTCTTTCTTCAGTCGAAAAGAAATTAATGTTTTTGATGAAAACATTCCAGGATTTTCTCCATATAATGGACTTCAATGGGAACCAAACGGTTCAAGGTCCAAATGAGAGTTTCAGTGCAGCTTCAAAGGGCTTTAAATGACACCAGACTATGAATAAGGGTCTAATCTAGCGAAACGATCGCTCATTTAAAAAATAAATAAAAAAGTTTAAGTTTTATAAGCACAAATGCTTGCCTTGCTCTGTTCTGTGAGGAGCGTTCGTGACTCTCCTGTTCAAACTCGTTCATCAAAATGAACAAATCTTTTTTCGAGTCATGACTTAAAGGGTCCTAGATAAGACCCTTATTCATCCTCTGGTGTCGTTTAAAGCCCTTTAAAGCTGCACTGAAACTCTCATTTGGACCTTTAACCATTTGGTTCCCAATGAAGTCCATTATATGGAGAAAATCCTGGAATGTTTTCATCAAAAACCTTAATTTCTTTTCGACTGAAGAAAAAAATACGTGGACATCTTGGATGACATGGGGGTGAGTAAATTATCAGCAAAAGTTTTTTTTTTAAAGTGAACTACTCCTTTAAGTGGATATTTGTTGAATAAAGGTACAAAAAATAATAAATTCTTAGTGCCCTCAAACTTTTCTGCGCCATTAGCACAGGATGGTAAACATGGACTGAGCTGGAATAGTAAAGAGCATTTTAATATTTAAAAATGTAAAGTGAGTAAATTGCAGATCAAATATTTGTTTAAAATGTGTAAATTATTCTAAAGTCATATTAAATATTCATTGTTTATCAGACATTTACAAAGTAAAGGAATCTAGTACCATTATTTAATCAGCAGTTTACGAACACTAAAGCTTTTGCTGAGTTTCATGGGTGTAAGCAGAATGTAGCATGTTAAGCGTGTGACGTTGACATGTTCATGATCTAATTTATCTAGTATATAAACAGAATATTAATTTAATATGTTAACATGGCAGTTAATTATAGATTCAGAAGGATGAATACCCCACTGTTACCACTACAAATGCGATACACCCTTGAATTCCCAGGAGAGCAGTAGACCTCTTTCGTCAAACATGTTTGTACAAAAATCATTGTCAGTGTCTTTTGTTTAACCATACTATTTTAGCATATGGCTGCACAGCCTGAGAGAGACTATTGTCCATGTGAGCGGGGCTTTTAATGGATAATTATCTCCCTTTTAAATGGAGGGGTAAAAATTGAAGCGTTTCATTTAAATGTGACTGCTCTTGTCGATCTACCTCGCTGAAAACTGTAATTAAAGCAAGTTATGATATTTTGAAGAATGCTTTTGAGTAAATGGCCTTTGTTTGGCACTTTTTGCCAGTCTGAATGAACAGTGATGTAATGAAAATAAAGTGCTTTTGTCGTGACAAGGTCAAGTGGGCAGCTGAGAGCAGCTTTGGGCCAGATTGACAGTGAATCAGTATGGCTGGAACAGGCACAATATCATTCTTTGCTGGGAGATTAGGTTCAGGGTCTCCAGCAGATGAGACTCAGCTTTCATATTCTTGACAGCCAACCAATTCACCCCTCCGCGGGGAAAGAGCTCGCCTGTGGCTAGGCTCCCTGTGGGGAGGGTTTTTTTATTATATAGATTTTTTGGTCTTGGAAATATTCTGTAATAGTACAATTTTTAGGTGGAGCGAGTCATTCTGGTCATATCTGGTAGTTTGGGTTGAATGTTAAACTGAAAAAACGCAGTTGGTTATGGATCCAGAGTATGAAACGTAAGACTGACCACTTCAAATCAATTCTAAAGTAACTTGATGATAAATCAATATGATTCTCTGACTGAGCAACTCTACCAGAACTAATAATGTTCACATTGTGCTTTAGAAGTTAAACCATCTGTCATCATAGAGATGTTTATTACTGTCATCAAAACAAAGGCGTTCATCGTAAGCTTGCTTGGATGTTGGCGGTAGCCATGTGAAAGCGATAGCCGAGAGTGGATGATGTTTTGGGCGTAGGGCGGCAATAAAAGGACATAGAATATTAACATAAGTTACAGAGCCAAAGTCAATATAAATAAATAATCAGGATGTTTTATAAGTTTCTCTGTTTTCCCCTCTGACTGGCCCCAAGGACCCCGAGGCACTGATTAATGAACATTCAGCCGCAAGACCAGGATCAGCTAACATATATGACATTACCCCCATGTCTCTGGCTCGGCAAATTCTCTGAATGATTTATGGAATAGATATTAATCTGCTTCCAGTAAATGCATTATCCGAGTTGGAAAATGGAGAGGAATTGATGTTACAGCGCTAATGTCAAATTAATGTCCTGTTGCTGTTTCAGCAAAGCAACACTGCAGTGAAATGATGTTAACCACTTACACTCTGACAAAAGGGAAGCGGCACTTTCTTGGCAACAATCTGGCGTTTTGACGCAAGTGACTTTGAGAGCTGAAGCCCCCGTGTCAATTGAAGGACTTAAGGCGCAATAGTTCAGCAAAGTTTTCAGAGCCAGGCACATCCGGTCATTAATCAAATGCTCTTCCCTTTATGTTGAAGAAGATGTGGAAATGGAAAGGTTTGTTGCGATCTGGGCTCATTTGTCAGAAAGCCACCTGTCAGCGAGTGATAACTTCTCAGCCTCTCCTTTGTTACAGTGAAAGTCAGCACCTTCAAAATGGAAATGATATTTAATACGCAGTCAAAGGATAAAATATCCCCTAGGATAGCCTGTAAAAAATGAAAATAATAGTATAGATGCATTAGATATCACTCGCTCAGATCTTGAGAAAAAAGTTATACCCTTTTCCAAAATACAGTGCTGGTCAGAATTATTTGCCCCCTTGGTAAATATGATCAAAGATGGCTGTAAAATAAATCATTGTTAATTCATTTGATATTTTATTAAAGATGAGAGACATTTTTATTTATAAAGGAAAAAACCCTTGAATGCACTGTAGTTAGCTACTTCTATTTGTCTTGAGTATAGTTTAACTACTTCAAATTATGATTAGCTTGTAGCTTAGTAAACAATATTTTCAGAGTTGCTTCCCCAACATTTATACAGATTTGCACTGTGATTGCTACACACAAGATTTCAATCCTTGATCGCACCATCCAATGGAACTTCAAGCAAATGCATCTGACTTGAAAGCCAAGATATCACTCAAGTTGCTTCCCTCTGCCAGAAAAATTGTTTCTTGTTTCTTTCTCCCTTTAGACAGCTGTCATGAGAGAGAGAGAGAAAAAAAAAGTCCGAAAAATGTCTCTTATCTTTAGTATCCGGGTAATAAATTCTAATTGGTTAATTAAAACAGACCATGGATACGTAAACTGTTTACTGAAGGCATAAAACACTTAATTTACATTTAGATGAGATGTAACTCATTTTCTTGTCAGCCATATGCAGATTAGGTCAGTGGTATATCTTTTCTTAGGCATTTGGGCCTACAGGTTTCTAATTCTCTCTCACTTCTGTGTCTCTGTCTTTTTTAGCATAACTTATTAAAATAACCCCCATTATGCACAGTTTGATAGTAAAAAACATAATGGATATTTCCCGAAGGCGTCATTAAAACATTATTGATGGCTCTATAGATATAGTTACGTTTGCCGCATTATGTAAATTCCATAGATTCTTGAATTTAAAAGAGCTTTAATGATTATAATTAGCACTTTAATCGTGTGATATTATCTGAGTTTTTTAATAACGTGGTTTTATTCTAATTTAGAAACATTTGTTTGTCGATGTTTTTTTGGAGTAGCTGAACTGACTTTGACAGGATTGATAGTCTTGCATTAATCTATGGCCTCTGGATAAAAGCATCCAAATTCAGCATGCCAGAATCAAGTATATTTAATGTAAACCTTTTAGCATTTTGAGGAATTTTGCAAATGAGGAATAGCGTTTGAAGGTTTTGAAGTGCATGTCATTCATTACCTCACATCTTCCCTTTCATTCGTGTAGATGTTCTCACATTAGTTTCATAATTCATTCTGGTGGTAAATTATGTCAAAAATATTTCTCCACATGCTGATGCTTATCTGAGGCTCTGAGTGATAAAACTTATTGACTGTAGCTTCTGATTAAATCTGGTGCCTGCTAGAGGCAGAGGAAGAAGGTGTGTGTGTACACAAGTGCATATATGCGCATGTGTGTCTACATAATGATTCGATTCCTACCAAGGGCAGGATATAATGTATCCACCAATGACAATCCGAGATGTGCGGTACCCCCTAAGCATTTAACGGATTTGCACTGGGGATTTTAAATTATCCATTGTAATCATAATAGATGAAAAAAACTCCTTCGATTCAGCGAACAAAAGAAATGTGTTCGGAGAGGGGACAAGGCCTCAGCCGCACGCTTGCTAATGAGGATAAACAGTAGGGAAAAATCTCTCTGCTGATGGGGCTTTAATTGTTTTGTGTTTTTTTCCTTCTTTTTTTTTACATTCAGTAGAGTTTTTCTTGTCTGTTTTTATCTTCCCTCAAAGTCCTCATGCTTCATGTCACTCTTGCAGAGTGCATCTAGTGGTTGAATGATTACATTTAACACCCCAGAAAGACAAGAGGGGGATGAAGGGAGGGAAAAAAATGTAAGAAGGCCAAGGGGACAAAAAGCAGCCAGGCTTGCCAGCAGATATTTATATACTTCAGATGTACCCTGAATCAAGACACTCAGATGCCCATTGATTAAAGAAGTGGAAACATTCTAACAATCAGGCTTTATGCTCCGCACAAGTGGCTGTTGGAAACAGCGGGGTTTACACGGAGGATGAAGA